ATAAGTGAATTTGAATGTATTATTTTATCCTTTAGGTTAAAAAAGACCATGTTCGTGTAAACAAATAAAAAAGAAGGTTTATACTAAACTAAAAAAATGTCCTGTTTTTATGGTTATCTTCTCAACTCACCATATTTATTCTCAGCAACGTTTCTTGCAGGTATTCCAAAAACTTCCTGATGAATTTGAAAGGAAAAATTATGCTGTAAGTCTGTTGGATTGTTGAAGGCGTCAACCAGCTCTAATCAACACGTTTTGCTTCTTGTATTGGTAGTTTCGAACACGTTTGTGAACAAATTGACAGAAAAACTGCKAAAGCTAGCCTCTTCTCTTGTGGGCATAAAAAACAAAAACAAATCTTATTTCATGTTAGTTTTCGTCAAAGCAGAGGGACCACAGAGCCACAGGTTGAGGACCCCTGGTCTAGCTAAGAGCAAGACAGGTTCGATCCCCGGTTCGAACCTGGGATCTTTCTGTGTGGAGTTTGCATGTTCTTGTGCCTGCGGGGGTGTTCTCCAGGTACTCTGGTTTCCCCCACCCCCAAAAACATGTACAATAGGTTGCCTTCAGGCCCAGGTCTCCCTTGAAAAAGAGATCTGAGATCTCAATGGGACTTGCCTGGTAAAATAACAGTTAATAATAATAAGATAGAAAAAGGCTCAATTTATATTTCAGTTGTTCAAATCTCAAAAGTTGCACTGACTTAAATTTTTTTTAAAATAAACTAGTCAGTTTTTTTGTTATCCAAAACCCTGAAAGTCTTTGCACTTCTTGGCCTTACTTGTTCCCTTATYAAGTGTGCATTATGCTGTTTCAAAGCTGAGAATAAGTAGACTTTGAGTAAAATGTTTGTTCTCGGCCTTATTAAAGAACAGAAGCCTTTGTGGAATCCAAACTTGGTTTCCTTTATCACGAACATAGGGACAGACTTTATTTACATTTCCTCAGGAGTCCAGCTTTGAATTTGCTCTTATTCTGTTCCACCTCTTAAATAGTTCGTCTTTATTCTCCTGACACC